AGCCCACTCTATTAGCCTTGTTGACATTTTACAGTGACATTCACTACAGTGTAGAAGCCCTGTAGTGAGTCAGCATGGCCTCCCGCTGACCCAGAGAAGAAAACTCCCCTCAAAACCCCTTGGTGGGTGGTGCCAGACACAGGAAGCTAGGGCTGGAGGTATAAGAAGGGAAGCTCCCAGCTCAGTCAGAGCCCAGCTGCCGGGGCGGTGTTTCAAAAGGGCAGTGCACAAGCCCGGGGTCAGCATGGTACAGTTCTGCCCCTTTGAAACACCCGCTTTGAAGTACCCCCTTTTTCCTCCCCTTTTGCTGCCTCTAGGTGACTAGTTGACTATCCTGTTGACTATCTGGTAAGCATTTGCTATTGGATAGTCGACTAGTCCTTCACATCCCTATTCTGTACCGCAGTGAATGACATCCATAGCAAATTCTAAAAAAGTAATGTGTTCACTGATACTATGTGCAAGTACTATTTTTCTACACTATTAGCACTTTTATTGAATCTTTACATGAAATGCTAGTCTAGACTTCAAAATCCTTTTTCCTAAGCTATAAAACCAACAGTGGGTAGGTCTTCAATTTTCATTATACCTAGTTTTAAGAAACCAGACTGTATAGCAGGTGTGGGGAACCTCAGTCCAAGGGGCTGGATATGGCCCCCAGCTTGCTTGAATCCAGTCCTCAGGACTCTCCCCAGCATTTGGGAGCCCGTGCTGGTGCTCCAGCCCCTCCACTGCCCTACCACGGGGCTGAAGCACACACAGTCTAGTACCCTGGGCCTCCCTAGGATCTTGGGAATGTAAGGAATGACTTTTTCCTTCTCGGTTGGCAGCCATGTCAGTGAAGGGATTTTGTATGCTTCTCATTTGTATGTGGCCCTCAACTGATTTTTCTGTGGGTCAGTGGCCCCCAGCCCAAAAAAGGTTCCCCAAACCTGCTGTGTAGAAAATTCAATCTTCAAATTAATTTTAATAATCTCAGGGCGAAAGAAGTTGATTGTGGACATTACATCTCTGGAATGCACTTTTACATTATCAAAAATGTGAAGATTTCACTTGATTGTGTCTTATTGAGTTGAACATCTTAAAATCTCCTATATGTCTCAATTTTATGGTTCTTGAACCTTCCCTACTCCATCCCCCTCCTTGAAGCTTTTCTATCACTTGCTAAGATGCTTGAAAAACTATACGTAACATTTAGTCTTTAACACTTCAGAAGGAGAGAGAGACATTTGCTTGGACTGCCTGTGTTTACTTTCACAACTATCAGCTTGATCAAAGATCTTGCTCATCTTCCTTCTACCAAGGCCAGGCTTATATCCTCAGCGTATTTCCCAGAGCCCCAGGCTTTTGCCCCAGGGGTTTGAAAGTGTTTTCCAGAGCTCTGTTCTGGACATCTCTGGTTGAATGTAAGCACTGAGCCCAGGAGGATGCTTAATAAACTACTCTCCAAGTATCTGTCTCTAAAGAATTATGCCATGTATTTCTTGCCTAGTCATGCAAGCAAAAACAACAGAGTCCTGTGTCACTTTAAAGACTTACACATTTATTTGGGCATAAGCTTTCATGGGCAAAGACCCACTTCATCAGATGCATGAAATGGAAACTTCAGTATTGAAGGTAGATATACTCATGTCATGTAATGATGCGAGTGTTACATTACTATACAGAGCGCCAGTGCTAACGAGATCAGTTCAGTCAGGGTGGATGTGGCCCTTTCCTAACAGTTGATGAGAGGGCATGAATACCAAGAAAGAAAATTATTATTTATTATTTTGCAATGAGAGAGCCATCCTCAATCTCTATTCAGACCCAGTTTGATCGTGTCAAGTTTGCATACAAGTTCTAGCTCTGCAGTTTCACACTGTCTCAATCTCTATTCAGACCCAGTTTGTCCAGTTTGCATACAAGTTCTAGCTCTGCAGTTTCACACTGAAGTTTTTGAAATGTGTTTTGTTTTTTGCTTAATTGTAACTTTCAACTCTGTTACTAAGTATGCAGGGAGACTGAAGTGCTTTCCTACTGGTTTTTGAATGTTACTGTTGTTGATGTTTGACTTGTGTCCTTTAGTCTTTTGTATAGACACACTCCAGTTTGGCCATTTCTAATGTTTGGACATAATCACTTTACATGGGCCTCAGGCCTGCAAACACTTGCTCAGTGTTAAGATCATCTCATCTGAAGAAATGGGTTTTGCCCACAAAAGCTCATGATACTATGTATATATTAGTGTTAGTCTCTAAGGTGCCACAGGACTACTTTTTTTTTTTAAAGTTACAGACTAACATGACTATCCCTCTGAGACTTTTAAGCATGTGAAAATTCCCAGTGACTTGAATCGGACCGGTCACATACTAAGGTTAAGCACATCTATGTCCAGTGACTTGAATCGGACTGGTCACATACTAAGGTTAAGCACATCTATGTAGGTGTTTGCTGGATTGAGACATTGTTATTTAGGCATAACACCAATAAAAAGCAGCCCCAAATGTCCCAATGTGTGTCATATTTAGAGCATTTGAAATAAACATTGCTGTAAATGTCTTAATTATTAGAGCAGTTTCCTGCTCTAGTAAGCAATTCTGTCTCCTAAATGCTGACCTAAAGAGCTACCCACTGCATCAATAAAACAGGATACTTGTTAAACTTTTTTTAGTTGCACTGTTCATATTTATCTCTGAATGTCTATTGGCTTTCTTGATTACTGTGCTTTGTGTGCTCTTACTGTATTTAATTGTGTATTTGTTTCTCTGCAGATAGCTCACTCTGGTTTTATACCAAGAAAAAGGATTTTGGTTAGATCAGATGAAGAGGATAATGTGTTTGAGAAGATAAGAGAGGAAGATTTGTGAGATTCTTTAGAACTGCCTATAAAATATGTTGCAAAGTCTCAATTATAATAAAATAGTCTTCAATTTAACAATACCTTATAAATGTTTCTAATTCCTTGATAATTATGACATTCTTGATCTTGTAGTTTTTAAAGATTCAGTTAACCACTCCCTGGAGTTAGAATTAGCAAAATAAAAACATCTTGTTTCTTATATAGGTGTATTTTTTAATAACTTAAAGCATACATTTTTAAAATAGAAAACAGTCTATTGAAATGTTAAAGAATTGAAAAACTTTATTTTGCATTAAAATGCAAGGTATTAATTAATTCTAAAGAGTGTTGGTTTAAATATTGTGACAAGGGTTGAGTGCAGCTACAGTGTTGCCATCTTGGGATAATGTGGGAGGTCCACTCGTTTCCCTTGAAAACATTCCTTATGATCATTTATGCACTTCCTTATCAAGAGCAGCCAGCCTACTACCGAGCCTCCATGCTTCTATCTGAGCTTCACTTGATGCTGATCTGGAGACTGCAACAGATCCTGAATGCAACTGTAAATGGACTTCCTATGGGGGCCACTAACAGACTGAAAAAATCAGCCAGGGTCCATGCACCAAGTGAAAAGCAAAGAATCAATCAATCAATAACTTACACTCCAGCCCCCTCAGCCAATGCCACCAGCATGAGGCCTGGAGCATGAGGGCCAGCTCCCCTTGCTGCACACGGAAGCTCCAGGTGCTTTCTGTGAGCCTGGAGCATGAGCGCCAGCTCCCCTTGCTGCACACGGAAGCTCCAGGTCTTGTCATGGGCTGAATCAGTGTGCGAGGCTGGGTGATTGATTTTTTCTGACCATATATTGTGCTTGTGCACACTTTGTAGTATGGTGTGAAGCTACTTTGTGATAGACATACCTCAACATGTAAATAATTGGACAGTTGAAAGTTACGATTCACATGATAAAAAATTGGCTGACAAAT